GAATATACTTACTCCTTCGCCTGATGAAGGTGTAAGTAAGTATATACTCCAAACGTTGTGTTCGTCTTAACAAAGAAGTTGAGATTAATAAATTCTCTTCCTTACGTATAATTTACCACAAACAAACATGTTTCCGTTTGCCTTCAACGATTACGTGTACAAGAATGTCCCATGTGTTTTTATCACAAATGTGATTTTGCGGTACATATTAAAGTAGTATTTCTATTTCTTTGTGTTGTAATTTCACGTTTCTTTTTTAAACATATTCTAGTGTCAGAACTAAAATGGCTCTGACACAAGATGTGAAACTTACATTGCCGGATCACTTACGACAATATCGTCAAACGATCTTTTAAAGAAATGTTTTTCTTGGGTATAGTATCAGTGACGGAATCCTGTGTTGATGATTGGAGAGGGTTGTAACACTTATGTTTGTCAGAGATCATTCAAATAAATTCATGTACCGCTGATGATGTGATTATCATCGTAAAATCAAAAACATTATCAAATTAAATAAACAATATGCACAAAGAAAACTAATTTCAAATGCAATATGTGGATCAGATTTAAATATCCTATTTGCCTCATAGTTTATTCTGTCATCGATCCCAGTTGCGTGGATCGATGCTCATGATATTAATCACTGGATTGTCTGGTCCAGACTCGATTATTTACAGACCGCCGTCATATAGCTGGATTATTGCTGAGTGCGGCGTTAATCAATAAACAAACCAAACAAAAAATACATATTTGTTCGGTCACTGACTGAAAACATACAATTCTCTCCTCTCATATATCTCAGGACACACAACAGGGCCTGGGAACAAATTCTCCTGTTGTAAAATCTAAGGAAAGATTATAATATTCTGGAACAAATTAAAATTTTATTCCAATGTATTATTTTACATGCTTCATATGCAGAAAATAAGTCACAAAAACACTGAAAGTCACAGAAAAACACATACGAGAATGTTTTTTTAACATTGAATAATATGTGATCAGCTCGGGTGCATACGACGCTTCATGCCATACATGCTTTCACTTGTAATATTTAAATGTTTAAGAATGAGCGTCTGCTGTACTAAAGGTATTGCGACAGTACACACTTACACAACTGTCCTTCACTGTGAACACACAATGCCATTTAGAAAGTGGTCAAATGTAACACATGTTATAATTGGGATATATTTTCTCAGTAAAGTACAGATTCTCGTACTTTTTTGGGTCGAGTCCTGTCCGGGGGCTGTGCCGCTATTTAATTCTCCAACGAAGAAAAAAATATTTTATGTGGCTAGTTACGGGTAGTATATTTTCATACCCCTTTAACACCAATATATTTATGCTGTACATACTGTGATATATTTTAAGTCTCTCGTAACCCTTAACGGGTGGCTCACTTTTATGCCCTTTTATATGTATCTATGTAATTATTTTTGTGAGGTGAGACTCAAATAAAACAATCTGTCTGTCTGTCTGTGCCAATTTACACTTGGACGAGAGTTTGATCTCTGACTTTGAGCGCTGGCGATTAGATGCCCCAATCTGGCAGTGTGGGGCCGAATCCCTGAATCCAAAAAAGTACGAGAATCTGTACTTGACTGAGAAAGTGTTATCCCAAATATAACATTTGTTACCCTACACTGAGGTACACAATTCGCTGGGACAACAGCATACATCACGCCCTGGGCGGTTCGCACCGCGGCAACACCCAGCCTTTGATCACAGAGTTGTAAACCACCCGCCTACACCAACAAACATCTCAAAATGATTATATCATAGACTTATACAGTACTTATTGACACAGTTGCACCTCGCGAGCGCAATTTACCTACGTTTAGGGGGCATTCCACTCCTCCGTACCAATATAACCTTAGTGTTCTCTAGGGCGTTTTATTGGGCGGTGTCTCTTTTATCTGGCGAACGTGTTGATATAGCGGGATATACGACAGTTTATCATGAGTTATTAAGCAATCGTTCATACGATAAGCTAAAGCTTATCCGATCAAGCCTTTTCACACCTTCGAGACAAAATGGTTGATCCATTTTTGCCTCAGGACCGTTATGTTCGTACGCATCGTGTGATCTTGGTCGGAAATAATTTTCTCAAACGCGCCGAAATTCTAACATCGTCACGTGATAATTTGAAATCCGAATCATGTTTCTGATTCCCACGTGCTGCGGTACTGGTTTCCAAACAACATTCATTACCTAACAAAAGACTTTAGAGTATAATAACAGCGGATGTTACGTGTTTCGCTTGACCTTTCACACGCCATCGCGAGCGAGCTCTCTTTACACTACCTGGCTTACACCGATCTGTGACCATACCACCCCTACCCTCCTCCCCCCAACCCCACCCCCGAACCTCTCGCCCTGTCACCTTTCCCTGTGTCCCATCTGACGCACAGCGACCCTCCTCGAACGGCGGGCGTTTAACAGCCTCGAGGAAAGCAGTATTCATTCCCTCCCTTTCATCCTTCACGGGCTAAAACACAAATGCCATTTAATGCTGACTGGCTATATGGTGTATATTAACCGATATGTTGTTAATACAGGTTATTTGGCGTTATGCTCCATTTTCCCACGACCTCCCTACCCTGAAAGTGTTAGCGATACGTCATCTATCGATCAGCGGATTCAGATAACAGAGTTTTAATAGAACTACACAGTGTCTGCTTCCTCAAGCCGCTACTGAAAGATCGATACGAAAAAACTTCTCACCGTACTTTTTTTCCCAATGTCAAAAGGTGTAATGTTAAGTCGCCCGTGGATCTATTCAGAGGTGTGATTAATTTCATACGGGTTAAAATAACCAATAAAAATGCATATTTGGAAAAAATGACAGGATCGAACGGTTCAAACAAAGTTGTACGAACTTGCGAGTTGACACTAGGCTTTTGTATGGCACGCAGGTTGGGGATGATAATGTCCAACATTACACTACGTTTAACCGTGGGAGCATTTTTGTAAAACATATTTTTTTAATATTTTCTTTTTTAATTTCAATATCTCGAGATGTTACTCTTTAAGGCACGTGTGGGAAATCTTTTTTAACTGTTAAATCGTTAAATAAACGAACAAATGTTGTACTTAGATGCAACATATTTATTTAACAGTATTTACCTGAAAGAGATACAATCAATATAATCATCTCTAAATTAGCTTTCTATGTTAACTTTCAGAAATTAAAATATTTTATATCGCCAATTTGCTGCGATTTTCCAAACGGCTTCTTATCAGTCAATATTCGACTAACACCCAAAACGCATCAATCTGTTTCAGCAAATCTGAACGGAGAAAGAGATTTCTTGAACAGTTTTACAATGTTAATGGCATCAAAGTTTTAAACGTCAATATTGTTACTTGATCTTCATATACATAATTAATTTCGTATGTATACTACATATTTTTAGCCATAGCTAAAAATACAGATATTTAAAAAAAAATACAACTATGAGTATCAATTTAAAAAAATTAATTAAAATGGTCCAGCCTCGATTATTTACAGACCGCCGTCATATAGCTGGAATATTGCTGAGTGCGGCGTTAAACAAGAAACAGACCCACATACAGCTTGTCTTTGAGGTCTGATGTATAAGAGTGAGTGAGTTGGTTTAACGCCGCTTTTAACAGTATTCCAGGTATATCACGGAGTGTCAGCTTAATGTGGGAGGAAAGCCCGAAGTGATGCAGGTCTCAGATGTTTACCACTTCGGTGAAACCCACGAGCACGGGTATGGTGCTGACAAACCTAGAAACATAATCGGTGCGAACCGGGATTCGAACCCACGATCATAGGCCTCAGATGACTGGGCTTGTTTTGCGCACACCTTGGACAATTATTGACGCTTTTTTATCTGAATATAACATATTCTTTACAAACTTCCGCTTGACGTTGACACGTGTGTACAGAGCATAACTTTAGTTTTGTCTCCACTCACCATAAGTTTCCATTTGCACGACCATTCATAGAGACAATTTACTCATTTCCGCAAATTAACTTTGTTGCAATTAAGGTATGGATCGACCCTTTGATGTTCTGGGGGGGGGGGGGGGGGGGGGTGGGGGGTGGGGGGGGATATTAACGAAAAGAAATTGCTTGAAAAAACATAATTATGTGCCTGACAAATGAGATGAAAGGAAGTTGTCTGCCACAAAATATACTTTGTTGCACGATGTTTTATTAAAACAAGTATATAATGGCTCAAAGTTTTAATTAATACATATCTGATTTAGCAGATGTGGTTCAAAAGAGATCTTGTCTCCATACAAAATCTCCCCGGGCCTCCCTCCCCTATAATATCAAATAGTCGGCCCCTATATAGTGCAGGGGCGGTCGGGTAGCTTAGTGGTTAGAGCGTTCGCTCGTCACGCCGAAGACCCGGGTTCGATTCCCGACGTGGGTACAATGTGTGAAGCCCATTTCTGGTGTGTTCCGCCTTGGTATTGCTGGAATACTGCTGAAAGCGGCGTAAAATCAAACTCACTCACTCACCTAAATAGTGCTTATAGTATTTTGACTGTAACACTGTTTATAAGTACTAGTCGACAGGGCGCTGTGCATCTTGTGTATTGTATTGTGGTGTGCCGTCTATTTTTTTTCTTGTATACACGTGGACACTTGAACACATTAGGTTTCTGCCTTTCTCTTTTGTATTCAACATAAAAACTGTATTGACAACGGTATAAAGATATATACCAAACTGTTCTTGTTAATGCCACAATTTAGCTTCTTCGTACACATTCAAAAGCCTTACGCAGGACAACAAAACATGCGTAAATAGACATTTTTTATAGTTTTCGATCGTGTACTATTTGCGGGAGTGTCTCCAGATGGTCTTGCCAGGAACGTCCTCTGTGGAACCCATTCTGGAATGGGGGTTAGCAGTTGTTTACTTCAGCTAGTTGTTGATCCTGTCACTAAGAATTATATTATAATATATATATTGTATGTGTCTCGCCTCTGTACTTGGATAGCTATCCAGGATCTCCAACCTCAGGATCTCCAACCCAGGATCTGCACCCTCAGGATCCCCACCCTCAGGATCCCCACCCCAGGATCTCCACCCCCAGGATCTCCACCCTCAGGATCCCCACCCCAGGATCCCAACCCCCAGGATCTCAAACCTCAGGATCTCCACCCCCAGGATCTCCACCCCCAGGATCTCCACCCTCAGGATCCCCCCCAGGATCTCCACCCTCAGGATCTCCACCCTCAGGATCCCCACCCCAGGATCTCCACCCTCAGGATCCCCACCCCAGGATCTCCACCCCAGGATCTCCACCCTCAGGATCCCCACCCCAGGATCTCCACCCCAAGGATTTCCACCCCCAGGATCTGCACCCTCAGGATCTCCACCCCAGGATCTCCACCCTCAGGATCCCCACCCCCAGGATCCCCACCCCAGGATCTGCACCCTCAGGATCTCCACCCCAAGGATCTCCACCCCCAGGATCTCCACCACCAGGATCCCCACCCCAGGATCTGCACCCTCAGGATCTCCACCCCAAGGATCTCCACCCCCAGGATCTCCACCCCCAGGATCCCCACCCCAGGATCTCCACCCCAGGATCTCCACCCTCAGGATCCCCACCCCAGGATCTCCACCCCCAGGATCTCCACCCCCAGGATCTCCACCCCAGGATCCCCACCCCAGGATCTCCACCCTCAGGATCCCCACCCCAGGATCTCCACCCTCAGGATCCCCACCCCAAGGATCTCCACCCTCAGGATCTCCACCCCAGGATCCCCACCCCAGGATCTCCATCCTCAGGATCTCCACCCTCAGGATCTCCACCCTCAGGATCTCCACCCCCAGGATCTCCACCCTCAGGATCTCCACCCTCAGGATCCCCACCCCAGGATCTCCACCCTCAGGATCCCCACCCCAGGATCTCCACCCCAGGATCCCCACCCTCAGGATCTCCACCCTCAGGATCTCCACCCTCAGGATCCCCACCCCAGGATCTCCACCCTCAGGATCTCCACCCCAGGATCTCCACCCTCAGGATCCCCACCCCAGGATCTCCACCCCCAGGATCCCCACCCCCAGGATCTCCAACCTCAGGATCCCCACCCCAGGATCTCCACCCTCAGGATCTCCACCCCAGGATCTCCACCCTCAGGATCCCCACCCCAGGATCTCCACCCCCAGGATCCCCACCCCCAGGATCTCCAACCTCAGGATCTCCATCCTCAGGATCTCCCCCCCCCCCCCCAGGATCTCCACCCTCAGGATCCCCACCCCCAGGATCTCCAACCTCAGGATCTCCATCCTCAGGATCTCCCCCCCCCCCCCAGGATCTCCACCCTCAGGATCCCCACCCCAGGATCTCCACCCTCAGGATCTCCACCCCAGGATCTCCACCCTCAGGATCCCCACCCCAGGATCTCCACCCCCAGGATCCCCACCCCCAGGATCTCCAACCTCAGGATCCCCACCCCAGGATCTCCACCCTCAGGATCTCCACCCCAGGATCTCCACCCTCAGGATCCCCACCCCAGGATCTCCACCCCCAGGATCCCCACCCCCAGGATCTCCAACCTCAGGATCTCCATCCTCAGGATCTCCATCCTCAGGATCTCCCCCCCCCCCCCCAGGATCTCCACCCTCAGGATCCCCACCCCCAGGATCTCCAACCTCAGGATCTCCATCCTCAGGATCTCCCCCCCCCCCCCCCCCCAGGATCTCCACCCTCAGGATCCCCACCCCAGGATCTCCACCCTCAGGATCCCCACCCCAGGATCTCCACCCCAGGATCCCCACCCTCAGGATCTCCACCCTCAGGATCTCCACCCTCAGGATCCCCACCCCAGGATCTCCACCCTCAGGATCTCCACCCCAGGATCTCCACCCTCAGGATCCCCACCCCAGGATCTCCACCCCCAGGATCCCCACCCCCAGGATCTCCAACCTCAGGATCCCCACCCCAGGATCTCCACCCCAGGATCTCCACCCCCAGGATCTCCACCCTCAGGATCCCCACCCCAGGATCCCAACCCCCAGGATCTCAAACCTCAGGATCTCCACCCCCAGGATCTCCACCCCCAGGATCTCCACCCTCAGGATCCCCCCCAGGATCTCCACCCTCAGGATCTCCACCCTCAGGATCCCCACCCCAGGATCTCCACCCTCAGGATCCCCACCCCAGGATCTCTACCCCAGGATCTCCACCCTCAGGATCCCCACCCCAGGATCTCCACCCCAAGGATCTCCACCCCCAGGATCTGCACCCTCAGGATCTCCACCCCAGGATCTCCACCCTCAGGATCCCCACCCCCAGGATCCCCACCCCAGGATCTGCACCCTCAGGATCCCCACCCCAAGGATCTCCACCCCCAGGATCTCCACCACCAGGATCCCCACCCCAGGATCTCCACCCTCAGGATCTCCACCCCAGGATCTCCACCCTCAGGATCTCCACCCCAGGATCTCCACCCTCAGGATCCCCACCCCAGGATCTCCACCCCCAGGATCCCCACCCCCAGGATCTCCAACCTCAGGATCCCCACCCCAGGATCTCCACCCCAGGATCTCCACCCCCAGGATCTCCACCCTCAGGATCCCCACCCCAGGATCCCAACCCCCAGGATCTCAAACCTCAGGATCTCCACCCCCAGGATCTCCACCCCCAGGATCTCCACCCTCAGGATCCCCCCCAGGATCTCCACCCTCAGGATCTCCACCCTCAGGATCCCCACCCCAGGATCTCCACCCTCAGGATCCCCACCCCAGGATCTCCACCCCAGGATCTCCACCCTCAGGATCCCCACCCCAGGATCTCCACCCCAAGGATCTCCACCCCCAGGATCTGCACCCTCAGGATCTCCACCCCAGGATCTCCACCCTCAGGATCCCCACCCCCAGGATCCCCACCCCAGGATCTGCACCCTCAGGATCTCCACCCCAAGGATCTCCACCCCCAGGATCTCCACCACCAGGATCCCCACCCCAGGATCTCCACCCTCAGGATCTCCACCCCAGGATCTCCACCCTCAGGATCCCCACCCCAGGATCTCCACCCCCAGGATCCCCACCCCCAGGATCTCCAACCTCAGGATCTCCATCCTCAGGATCTCCATCCTCGGGATCTCCCCCCCCCCCCCCCCAGGATCTCCACCCTCAGGATCCCCACCCCCAGGATCTCCAACCTCAGGATCTCCATCCTCAGGATCACCCCCCCCCCCCCCCCAGGATCTCCACCCTCAGGATCCCCACCCCAGGATCTCCACCCTCAGGATCCCCACCCCAGGATCTCCACCCCAGGATCCCCACCCTCAGGATCTCCACCCTCAGGATCTCCACCCTCAGGATCCCCACCCCAGGATCTCCACCCTCAGGATCTCCACCCCAGGATCTCCACCCTCAGGATCCCCACCCCAGGATCTCCACCCCCAGGATCCCCACCCCCAGGATCTCCAACCTCAGGATCCCCACCCCAGGATCTCCACCCTCAGGATCTCCACCCCAGGATCTCCACCCTCAGGATCCCCACCCCAGGATCTCCACCCCCAGGATCCCCACCCCCAGGATCTCCAACCTCAGGATCTCCATCCTCAGGATCTCCATCCTCAGGATCTCCCCCCCCCCACCCCAGGATCTCCACCCCCAGGATCCCCACCCCCAGGATCTCCACCCTCAGGATCCCCACCCCAGGATCTCCACCCTCAGGATCTCCACCCCAGGATCTCCACCCTCAGGATCCCCACCCCAGGATCTCCACCCCCAGGATCCCCACCCCCAGGATCTCCAACCTCAGGATCTCCATCCTCAGGATCTCCCCCCCCCCCCCAGGATCTCCACCCTCAGGATCCCCACCCCCAGGATCTCCACCCTCAGGATCTCCATCCTCAGGATCTCCCCCCCCCCCCCCCCCAGTATCTCCACCCTCAGGATCCCAACCCCCAGGATCTCCACCCTCAGGATCTCCACCCCAGGATCTCCACCCTCAGGATCTCCACCCTCAGGATCTCCACCCCAGGATCTCCACCCTCAGGATCTCCACCCTCAGGATCCCCACCCCAGGATCTCCACAATCAGGATCCCCGTCCCAGGATCTCCACCCCAGGATCCCCACCCTCAGGATCTCCACCCTCAGGATCTCCACCCTCAGGATCCCCACCCCAGGATCTACACCCTCAGGATCTCCACCCCAGGATCTCCACCCTCAGGATCCCCACCCCAGGATCTCCACCCCCAGGATCCCCACCCCCAGGATCTCCAACCTCAGGATCTCCATCCTCAGGATCTCCCCCCCCAGGATCTCCACCCTCAGGATCCCCACCCCAGGATCTGCACCCTCAGGATCTCCACCCCAGGATCCCCACCCTCCGGATCTCTACCCCCGGATATGGGAAGAAGAGTATCCATACAATAATTATGTTGACAGGTGTTTTCAGAGCTGTGATTACACATAGCATAACTGTGAATGGCGTTCACACCGCTATAATCGTGTTGTTTTTTTGTTTTGGAAGCTCTCTCAATTGAACAGGCATCTTCCACACGTGTGGGGTATATATAAGTATTTGTCTTTCCCCTTGGCAGGTGATTTAGTTGTTAGTTACACTTTCTAATTGAACAAAGGAATACCAGTCACTGTTATGTATGTTGTTATTCTTCACGGTGGTCCAGCTTAAATCGATGTTATTTCAAAATGCAGACATGTCTCATTTGCAGGCACTCCTTAAAATGTCAACACTTTAATAAACTGACGGGAAACAGAATCGAAGTACGCGTCCAGGTTTGATGTTCAAAATAAAAAAAACCCAGGTAATTGTTATTCGATGTATTTCATAAGGGTTGTGTTTTGGGTCGTAAGTTTACTATATTTCGGCGGCTGTTTTCAGCCTGGTAACGTTTTGATAACGTAATATTTTGGTCAAATCCAAATTTCTAGTGTACACTTTTTTCAACCCGCCAGTCTACTTCAGATTGGATGTTTTTAACGCCTGGTGCTTTGCTGATTTATACGGAAGCCTTTTAGGGCCATGTGTTTTTTTAATGTTTTTCGATACTATGTTGAAATTTCAAGAAACTAAGTTGAAATTTCAAGATACTAAGTTGATATTTCAAGATAGTATCTTGAATTTTCAAAATACTATCTTGAAATTTCAAGATACAGAAGTTGAAATTTCAAGATACAGAAGTTGAAATTTCAAGATACAGAAGTTGAAATTTCAAGATACAGAAGTTGAAATTTCAAGATACTATTTTGACATTTCAACTTAGTATCTTGAAATTTCCACTTCTGTATCTTGAAATTTCAAGACTATCTTGAAATTTCAACTTAGTATCTTGAAATTTCCACTTCTGTATCTTGAAATTTCAACTTAGTATCTTGAAATTTCCATTTCTGTATCTTGAAATTTCAACTTAGTTTCTTGAAATTTCAACTTAGGATCTTGAAATTTCAAGATAGTATCGAAGATTTTTTTTAAAAACTAAATGGCCCTAAAAGGCTTCCGTAGATTTTTTCACTACCTATATTTGCTAACTTTGCTGAGGTCTGGTTTAAGACATCATGGATATATGTCCCCCTGGGAGATCTCGGGAATCCATACAAGTATTATTTTGACAGGTGCTAACAAAGCATAACTGTGAATGGCGTTCACAGTTTCTTTTGTCCTAAATGCTTACAACCATGTTGTTCAGGCACCTTCCACACGTGTGGGGTATATATAAAGTATTTGTCTTTCCACTTGACAGCTGATTTAGTTGTTAGTTACACTTTCTAATTGAACAAAGGAATACCAGTCACTGTTATGTATGTTGTTATTCTTCACGATGGTCCCCTTTGAATCGATGTTATTTCAAAATGCAGACATGACATGTGCAGGCGATGTTATTTGGCCTTATTACCTACCAGATGAATCATTCGTTCGTCAAAATCACTGACTATTGAGCTACAAAATTATTTCCCCGGACGCAAAATTACAGTTTTGATAAAAAATGTTTTCTCACACGAACCCTTAATTCCTTTTGGTAGTGCAGTGTTCAATAAAGTATGCACGTGTTTTCTGATAAATTGTTCTCCGACTTCGCATCTTTGACTCAAACTAAAAGGTCAAGAAGCAAGTTATTGAAATTTACAAAGATACACCTATAAGTTACGCGGGTAAAACTCGTAGATGTATCATTCCCAGGGAGTTGAGATTGCAAGTTACTTCGGCTAACTTACTTAAATTGGGAATTTAACATGCGCTTTCCGACATATGCGTATTTCATGCATTGGCCCGCCAGGCCATTTAGTGATTGGTCGAAAAGGGTATGTCCGAAAAGGTGAGGCTTTTAGGGTTGCTTACTTAATTTTGGAGACAAAAATTGGAATTTTGAAATATGCCATGCAGAAGGTGAGTGGGGTGGTGGGGGGGACTAAGAGAGTTTTTGTTAGGTTGTGTGGCGGTGTGTTTTTATAGGTTTAGAATTTTAGAGTTATTTATAGCTTGTTTGTTGTAGTTTTTAGATGCGGCCGAGTAGGCCTATTTCGTCTGTGGAAAGAATATTGAACTATCATTTTTTGCAATCCTGGAGAAGTTCAATATTATCGAGTTCAAGAGGTTTCTATTATAAATATCTTTAAAAAATGCCATTTTTTTAAAACTATCTCTCTCTACCTAAATCTGTTTATTACCCGCTCTTAATATTTCGCACGAATAACCACAATTTACCAGTCGAGACTGGCCACTGGAATAATGTACCCAGAGAACAACGTCTCTGTTCACTCTGTAACTCCCCAGCAATAGCAGATGAATTCCATTATATATTCCGATGTCGAGCTTTTGATAACAAAAGACTTGCGCTTATTCCTAGAAGATATTTAACTTGGTCAAATGTGTTTTCATTAAAAAGCCTATTTTCAACGACCAAACTAAACGAGCTAAAACGTCTATCAAAATATGTATTATTTGTATTTACCACTTTGAATGCTAAATCTAAATCCACACAGCCTTCTTGATGTACAGATTATATTTATATCTGTACTTTATGTATGCTCTTGTACTGCCGTCGGTGGTCTATGGAGAAATAAAGAATCTGAATCTGAATTAGATAGATGCCTAGTGCTTTATAGGTTTGTAAGGGGTTTAGTAGCGTTGTTAGTGTCATTTGTTTGTTGCAGTTTAGTGTGGATTAGAGTGTTGTTCTGTGTTGCTGGTAATTTGTGCAATTTAGTATTACGTATTCATGAGTTTCTATTACTTCTGTAAAAATAATCATTATTCATATTTTTAAATAGTATAGAAGTTGAAACAGTAGTAGCGATCAGTGAAGATTCGGGTTAGAATGATCTTCAGCTTTGTGTTTATTGTTTAACGCCGCACTCAGCAATCTTCCAGCTATATATAACGGAAGTCTTTAAAAAATCGATTCTGGACCAGACAATCCAGTAATTGATATCATGAGCGTCGATCTACGCAAGTGGGATACTGTGACAGGCATCAGCCATGATCTTCGGCAACCCATGTTTGAGGTAAGAGATGACAAACGGGATGGGTGGTCAGGCTCGCTGACTTGGTTGATGTATGTCATGGTGTCCCAATAGCGGAGGTCGATGCTCATACTGTCAACTACTATCAGTCGTCATGACGCCGAGTTCGACCCGTGCTCGATTTCCTAAATGGGTACAATGTGTGAAACCTATTACAGGACTCAGCCGCCGTGATATTGCCAGATTGTTGCAAAACACGGCGTAAAACCGTACTCACTCACTCAATAAAGTCTTACACAGATGTGTATTTAGAGTACAGATGACGTCTATATATCTCATTTATATGTAAATTCCTATATGACACTGCTCCTAGGTTGCAAGTACAAATGATGAATATTCATGAGAGTCGCCAGTACAAGTGAGATAACTCTCCTCTCAGACTGAGCTCCACTTCTTGTAAAAAGATTAAGAAAATCCCCCAGACATGCCATTTTGTTTGTCATACACTCCTGGTACCATTTTGGTCAATAATGATGTCAACCCAGCACGCATTGTCAAAGGTGGCTTGTTAATTTCAATATCGCACTCTGAGTACTATTAACGTCAGCCGGGAAAGGAGAAATTTCAAGGGTCCAACGAAGCAATAGACTCCAGGTCATTCCAGAATGGCATGTCAACTCCGACATAAGTCTCTCAGACCAAAATCATAACTTGATGGTCAAACTTGTCAATGACATGGACACAGAAGGTCAGTTTGTAATTCCCGAGAGTCACGTGCCACGCGCTAGCCGGACGGCGTGACACTTGCTCCCGCCAGATCGCACCTGATCGGTCGTGGCTGTCAAACGTTGATCGATAATCTTCGTAACGCAGTGACAATGGCCCGCGAAGACTGGCCACTTGAACTGACCGGTCCAGCAAGACGTAAAGTATCTTAACTATCTTGACAATAGCCCAAACACATGTCGCTGGACCGAATGCGTGACCAGTACCGTTGTTGCCATTATAAACTTGCTTACACATCGCGGAGTGATTATGGGAACAGTTTTATGAGTGTTCTGACTATAGTTTAACTATTGTAGAAGGGTGAATGCGCTTCGCACGAATTTAACTAGCTGGCTGGCACTTTCATTGATGGCTCAGCGTGATCATTCATTAAAAGCCTGTAAACTTGCGTGATGGAAACAATCTAAGTGTCACGTGAACAATAGAGTAGGTAATTACCTAAATTGAAGAGAGCCTTGACAAGTGACGGGATATAGATAACGGGCTTGGTCTTCAACCAACAGGTGGATACATAAACACATGCTCGTGTTGACACATCGCAGCAGACCACGTCGCTGAATATTAAGAGGTTGAATACTATAAAATACACACGTTTTAACTCGAAGGATAAGCCAGATTAACATTTAAAATAACCACCATGCCATTAACCATGCCAGATTGAATTTATGTTTGCTTTACTGAACTTTTGGGGATTGTGAAATAAACCTGCATGTGCATTGTCTATTGATAGATACAATGTATGTAAGTTAGTATGACGATACACAGGAACTTCGGGGTACAAAAGGCCTACCCAAAAATCACAAACACGATATGGAGAGCATTATTATATTTGCTTTAACAACCAAATCTGAATGTAACCATTTGAGCCAAAGTGCTTACAAAATGTCATCAGGTGTTAAAAAAAAAAGGAGGGGGGGGGGGGGGGGGTGACCGCACCAATAACCCCCACCCCTAGATCCGTAACTAATCCATCATTTAATCAACATTTGGGCGATGGTATAGCCTAGTGGTTAAAGTGTTCGCTCGTCACGCTGACGACCCGGGTTCGATTCCCCACATGGGTACAATGTGTGAAGCCCATTTCTGGTGTCCCCCGCCGTGATATTGCTGGAATATTGCTAAAAGTGACGTAACATCAAACTCACTCAACCTAAATAGTGCTTATAACATTTTGACTGTAACACTTTTTATAAGTACTAGCCGACAGGGAGCTGTGTACATCGTGTATTGTATTCACTTCAACAACATCTATGTTCACACGGGTACAGCATGATGCAGGTCTAAGACGTTTACCAGTTTGGTGAAGCCCATGAGCATGGGTATGGTGCTTACAAACCTAGAAACGTAATAGGGGCGAACCGGGATTCCAACCAACGATTATAGGTTTCTGGCGTGCCCAAAGGACGCAAATCTGTACATCGAACTGCGGCGCCTTAGACGACTGAGCCACCTGTGACCGCTGTGTCTCTGTATATATGCATATGCGCATACATCTGTGTGTGTTTATATATATGAATAAGCATGATTTGAAAAAGTTTTAGTACGTATTTGGACGTCGTTTATAACGTACACAAGGGTATTAGTAGTTGTATTTGCTGACCACTATTATCCTTATTTGGTATATCTTTCTAGACTAACATTTAGTCTCTGAAATGAACATATCGTACATAAAAAAACAGTTGTTCAGTTATCTTAATAAAAATATAATAAAAAGGAGCCCAGTGACTCTCTTCATTTTCAGATACTGCAGTGATCTAGACTTGCCAAACATTATAGACTTGCATGGGCTAGTTTTGATATATATTTGTATCAGGGTCTGTAAGACAGACTAATCTGTCTCTTATTGCATGCTTTTGAGTGATGATTGTACATCATATATTATTGAACACGTTTCTTTAACTTTAGTTTGTGTATAAATGTTGAAACTTTTATTTTATTTTATTTATTTATTTATTTATTTATTTATTTATTTATTTATTTATTTATTTATTTATTTTTTATTTTATTTTATTTTATTTTATTTTATTTTATTTTTTTATTTTTTTTTATATTTAATTTCAGTGATTCACTCATTCGTTAATCCCAACGGTATCTCGTCTGCAATAGGGAGATTCACTGTAAATAGTTCATGTAAGGCGCGAGAGCGTACCGCGAGATATGCAGCCACTGCGGTTACCCTTTAACATAAAACGATAACCTCGCTTAACTCTTTGACATTATATTTTTGTTGCTCTATAAGAATTATTCGTTTTATAAACGTCTGATTTACATGCATGTACTTTAACTAAGAAAAGCGTAATGGTGTTTAACCGGTTTGCCGACATTTTAAGAGACAAACAAAAGATGTAATTTTTTGGGGACACAAACCCGCTTGCGTATTCGTTTCCGATGACAAACATTGTCAGTCTGAATGTGAGCTTCCTTTAAAGCAAAAGCGTTTTTTTGCATTTCAAATTTACCAAGCGTGGCATTTTGTACCCAATCGCAAGATGTCTAAAGCAACGGGTGTTAATGAACCACAGGTTTTTCTTTCCCACTTGAACGATGTAAGAAAGTTAAATTGGACATGCGTTTTATTTTCTAATAATAAGCCGATCAATCGAAGTTCTACACGCGAATTGTATTTTAAGTTTGAATTATTCCAATTTGTAAAGTCAGATGTGAAAGATAGCGTTGACAAAGAGCGGCTTTCAAGATTCCTAACGCTTGCGGAGTTAAGCTTGACAGGTGAGTTGCAACAATTTACCAGTCCTGTACTTTGTCTCTAATTATCAGAAAAAGTTTAGCAGGTAACTCAGACGGGTTTGTTTAGTGTGTGTAACGTAGCAGAGTGTCATTGCGATGTGTCGAGCGGGTGCCCTTCGGAAACCAACAATCTGTTAACATTCGTTGAAAAACTTCATCATGACCATGGTATCTGAGGAGAAATTAGCGTCGCGCGGAAATTATCTTGGCTTGACTAAACTGTAAATCGTAGAGGGAAAAAAAACAAGGAAAATTTGGGAGCGCAAATCACAAAAATCGCGACAGTTGTTGAGAGTATGTGTGCTTGGCGACAGCCGGCTAGATGACAATGGTGGAAGTTGTTAAACGAACACTCGCTCCTCGCTTCGCGAGTCTTTCCCACGCGACCGGCAATCTTTATCACACCTGATAGCTCCCGTTTACTGACGCATATCCCTGCGCCAGGTCAATAAACACCAAATACCATTGCATCGAAATAAATAAATGCAGCATACACCTTATGGAATATGTATACGTCTTAAATTGTAGTTGTGAAAAATATTGGCGTGATTAGGAGACAACATCACCTATTTACATGCGAACTCTTTTCTCTGCGCGGAATGATATCAGACCGCTGTGCGGTTCGGCTGCTCTATATATAGCACAGTGACTTCATTCGAATCAAACACATGTATTCTAGTGTGGTTGGAGCATATTGGAAGCTTTATTTTGCTGCACGGATCTAATTGACAGTTATGAAGGTACGTATTTTTTTCCTTCCAACTCTGATAATGTTTGCCTCAAATGTCTCCTCTTCGTCTGCGTGTTTTATGTCATAATACCTTTGCATATAAAATCACATATCGGTCAGAGCGCGAGCAGATGTTTGCTTCGCTATTTTGCCTGTTCCGGGTTGTTGGTCGTGAGACCGAGCCAAATGCCATTGATCATATGACACTATTCCGTGATAATACGTGCTTGTATTTACGAATTAATGCTATACACAAAAGTTTCCATATATAATTCCGTTTTGTGGATTTTATACCATTTCTACCACAGCCCTACCTATTGCTAGAATGAACATATGTTTCTCTGGAAATTCCCCCGTATTTGTGCCTATATGTTTACAGATGGTTGGGTCGAGTGACAAAACTCCCAATATGTCTATGTCGTTTAAATTAATAAAATAATCATGAAAAAGTGTCAAGCTGGTATTTAATTGACAAATCATTTTGTTAATACCATATGTCAATTATTTATGTAATGGATGAGATCATCTTCATGAAATGTCAATTTTTATTTTTTCAAAACTACCAGGAAACAAAGCTGAATTTGTAGGTTAATTTACAAAGTATATATTTTTGGAAGTAACTTTTACTGCTGAAAGTTGTTAATTGTGAGTGACAAGCCGAGCCCATCTGGGATGTTTCCTGGGTTTGTCATAGAAAGGGTGTTACCATACGTAACGTTTAATCCTTGTATTAGTGACAACTGCGGACAAAACTGAATGAAACTTGTTAGCTACAATAAGTTTATCAAGAAAACAATAAATATTTACCTTGAATTATATTTAGAACAGATATTATTGCATGTGTTCGTTGCCATATGGTGGCTCGGCCATCAGCTTAGTCATGTGATTGATCGTGTTTACATTTGACACGCATAGGAACGGTGTTTGACATGTACACAGTTTTGCAAATTCCTACCGTTTTTTATCATTTAAGTAATATTTGTAACTCATGACGTTTCTACATGCCGGTGATAAGAGAGCAGACGACAAGGATTAGTTTTCGCGCCACCATATGGTGCAGACGATTAGTTGGTCATGTGACCTCAGTCGAATGCCCCGCGAGTCAGGACACGAAATATTACGCGCGCTTTTCCCACATGGCGTTGGTCGAGTATGGAGTTTAGTGAGTTTTAAACTAGTTGTGTACAAACCATCTTTTTCACATTTTCTTTATATAATTAATTAATGTGCTTTTCAAAGGAGTGTTTAATTATAATTTCGTCATATTTTTTAACCGTTTCAACTATTTACATCACTAAACGGCATGCTGCATTTTATTGATTGTAATTATTTTTTTTATATTAAAAATAAAAATAAACACTTTTTCATTTTATGCCTGTGAGTGTTTTGAATATCAGTGATGCATACAATGCTTTCGTGGCTTAGCATACAGATTCCTAATCTTGTATATTTTTATGTAATCGAGCTTGCTTCCTCCTAGCCCTGACTAGCCCTGACGGTTATCAGTATAACAGCATACTTTGAACTTGAAGACGCCAATAACGAATGTCGTAGTTTATGAATTCTTGAGAATGTCGGTCTCAACCCGAGGGCCATGTCATTATGAGGTCTTCATTAACCCTCACCCCCAGGCTGACACTGTCTCGCACCCCCGGGGTCGTGTAGCAACAACACATGGCGCATGTACCACCCTGCGGTTTCTACTTAGACCAAACATAATTGTCCCCAGCGTCTTCACCTCAAGGTTAGAAGGTCCTACACCGCCTCATCCATAATGTCACATTTGCATGTCCCTGTCTCGTATCTTTCTCGCACGATGGTTTATCTTTAGGCAACTGGTCGTGATGGAGGGATCGCACCGCGGAGCCTTCATGGGGAGTAGTTAGTTGTTGTGATATAAATCACTGTGATAAAGGTAGCTTTCTCGCCGGCCTTTATCTACCTGCCTTTAGCTTGTGAGATGACTGGCCATCTGATACGACAGTACGGCCTAATGAAGAGTTTAATGGCTCGCTGCGCCTGCGTAGGGGTCACGTGGAAACTAACTCAGTAACTTACGGAGGTCTTCAAGATATATACGGAGTTGCTGTTATCGTCCGACCTTTAGGAGGGCACGTGGATTTGTTCGGCTTTGTGACAAGGTCAAAATAAATTTACTCCCTCGGGCTTTCATGAGCTTTGATATATACCCCCAGTCCTCTAACGATTAACGTGAATCACTCACTGGAAAATCTGGCGTTCCCCCCGCCGGAGTAAGGCGAAACCCTGCCTGTAATTGACGCTGTATGACAATGGGACTTTGTACCGTTAATTTTACGTTTCACTCGAAGGTCAGTTCAGCTCCAGTGAATCCAGCCCGCTCTCTTCTTTGCCAGTTATCAGTTATCTCCCCTTGATAAAAAGTAATCCCCAATAAACAGGTTTAATAACTCACAACGGGATGTGTAATCCATCTTTCCAGCCGATACCTATCTCACTCAACTCTGATTACAAGATTTTTTGTTCCTCCGACATACCAAGCGTTGCTGGGTAGCAAGCGTCTTCAGGGTAATAATCTGTCATATGAAACATGTCCACGTGGGAATAAGTGGCTTTATTATCGGTATTGTTATTTATGAATGCATGTTATTTATCATTGTTATGCCGTATGACACTGCTCACCCGAAATTCACTAAATCACAATAACTCGTCCTGACTTGGAGCCGTTATCATTCTGAACTCGCACCTGTACATGCTTCAAAATGACTCATGTCGACATTGTCGCTGGATCTATTCATGTAGGCTATCAGGGTCTTGTCATTTGACTCGATTGTAACGGTCATATGACTGGAAACGCCTAAACTCGGTCAACCATCCGGCAGACCCGTCTAGAAGTGTTAAGTCTTGAGTGCGTAGCCCAGTGGTTAAAGCGGTTGTTCGTTATGCCGAGGACCTGGTTCGATTCCAAACATATACAATGTGTGAAACCAATTTCTGACATCAATCGCTGTGGTATGACTTCAATATTATTAAAAGCGTCGTTAAATCAAATCGATCTCCAGTAGCACATGCATCCTCCCGAGGAAAGAGTGAGTGAGTATGGTTTTACGCCGCTTTTAGCAATATCACGGCGGGGGACACCGGAAATGGGCTTCACACATTGTACCCATGTCGGGAGTCGAACCCGGGTCTTGGGCGTGACGCCCGAGGCAAGAGATTTAACTGAGTGGAAACTGAACTTTTTGAGCCAGTTAACTCTATTGCCACGGGAAGATGCACATGTTGATGAAGCTAGGGTTTGCGTGGTCACAATGGCATCTCGACATCGCTGTTAAACTTATAATACTTATATTTATGTTAAGTTATTAATATTTAACCCACAAAACGCAGACATCTAGCTGTATGGGACGTCATAGTGCGTCAAAAGTGCAGACCGGTCAGAGTCGCTGGTCGACTCATATATATATATATATATGTATATATATATATATATATATATATTTGAATTGGTTATATAATTTACTCAACGTGCGTTATTTGAGTATTTGAGCACCCAGGCTGTCAATATTGCTCATGTCACTTTTCTTTATCTTCAGATGGCTCGCCTAACCTCAGTACCAAGCACCTGCTCACAGTCCCAGATTGCGGCCAGAAAGACCTTGAAGCTGCACATCAAGAGGATCAGAGATCGCGAATATTCCAAGCTCCGGGCACTTGTCCCCTCAGTCGCTGATAAGAAGAAGGTCTCAAAGGTACGTAAAGTGTCTTCATTGTCGTAATGACGCGCTGGAAACACCATCGCGAGACCCTATAATAGCACTGTTGATGTATTTGTAATGTTCCGCCTTATTTGCCTCACAGGTGGAGGTAATTGAAGAAGCAGTGCGTTATATCGAGGAACTCCAAGATGCCCTTCTCGAGAGATTTCGACAAAAACATGGTGAGTACACAAATTTGATTATGGGGTATAATGTTCGAGAGATTTACGGGTTAAATACAGTGAGTCGTGATCTTGAAATTCAGAGCAGTTAAAAAAGGCAATTCAAATATCAGCGAACAATCCTCTCTATTCCATTTGGGTAATGCAATACACCTTAGTTCTCCGTCTGATGCATTTACCAACAAGGTTAATGTATTTCGTACCCAATACGTCGTAAGGTATCTACAGGCGAAACGGTTAACCAGTGTCGTTGACAGTTATTTACATAAACATTACCGTGTAAGGGCTAGGGTTGATAATAGGAGAAGCAAACAACTCCTCAAGACAGCTGTTACAGAGGACCTACAGTGACACTTTAACCATCAGCCAAGAACCCTTCGGTTACATCCTTTTCTAGAAGCGTCATCGCCAGATTATATGTCATGTAAAACAACATGTAGGAAAGTTAAGCTTGGCGGTGTGGTATCGTACACCCTTGTATTCGATGGAGTGATGCATCCAGCAATCCCGGGATTGAAAGTGTTCTTTAATGGCACAGACCGCCCACCGTGTCGGGTGTCCGCCATTGCTACGTGAACAGGGTGCCTGAGAAGGTTTGGGTGACATCCAACAGTTGTCCTCTGACCTGACTCGTCGTGACGGTCACGTGAAGGGCATGTAAGGGAAATATGTTTAGAAACTAAGTAAAACTGGATCCGCTGAATGTGTGTGTCTTCAGTCTCTTGTGTTAGGCGTAGGGCGGTTGCGTGAGCTGAACGCTGATTTTTATGGGGAGATTACATAACAGATGAACCACAAGCAGACAGTTTTTGGGCATCGTGTTAGATTCAACAGACAATTTCGTAATATCGCTGACATGACTGTCGTTTTAAACTTTCCTTCCATTTCGCACTGATTTATTGGATCCCTGGACTAGTTCAGGGAGAACATTTTTCATTTATTTAATCTCTTTTGACCTTGTTGGGTAACAGATTGACATCTCCCAGTCAATAAAACCTAAAAGATTGCTGCCATTCTATTCAAATCTCCCTATAAAATTCACCCAAACATTGTAATAGGATCCAATTGTCAATTGAAACAGGCAACCGTATTCTTTAGCTCGGTATTGTAATACCTGACTTTCCCACACAGTCCCACACCGAAACACGGTCCCCGCAATGGAACGTAATTGGCCATCTGTTGCATCCGGTCCACTCGAGCGCGTCTGTGCTCCTCCGCTAGCTGTCTTCTACCTGTCCCCCTCTGCTATATGTTGCAATCTAAGGGCCTTGGGTGACCGTGGGAACGCGGGAGAGAGATCTGGGAAGACATACCACTGCGGCAGATGTCGCCAAATACCTTTGTTGCCCCTTTGATCTCTTGACTTGCCACAGCCCAAAAACGTTGCTTTCAAATATTTGAAATTAAGTCAACTTTTTTATTTGTGATTTAAGACGTCACCTATGATATCATCTTATATAAAATGGATTTATGCAGTCATGAAAACCTTTGAAACTTCGGGCATGTATTATGTGGTCGTATATTGTCGTAAAACTAGTGCGTTAACATTTAACGTACAAAACATTGAGGTATTACATAAAACGTCCCAAAGTGTTTTCATGTTTATGTTGTTTACGTGTAACCCGGTAGTTTCCAAACTGTGATTAAGATTTATTTTTAAAAATAGGTGAGTCCAGGTGTTAAAATTGGGTTTACATAAAACATTGCCTTGATGGCAGGTAAAGGCACCGTGTAGGGCGTTGATTACAAATTCACACACCTGAGTGACACCTGCCTGGTAAAAATGTTGCGATCGTTGATTAATTAACCTGAACTCATCAACGCCATCCATTGACATGACGACGCGCTTCATAACTGTCGGCAGGATGGATTATTTTATTAAGTACCAGGTGACAACCGCTTCGTTACTGTAACGAGTATCGCCGGTCAATAGCCGGACGTCCCTCTCATGACGTCACCTCGACAGATGCCTGCATGTCAGCAAGGTCATCAATGGTCAAGCGCTTATGGGACTCCTGACAGTGGTCTAATTGTGTCCAGTTGAGCATATGGTCAAGCAGTGTTGACATGATACTCGACCGAGCCCCTATTGACACTGATTGATGACTGCTTGGACATTGTTGTCGAAATCGTACAACGGGTTTTCTGTTGTCCTGCTGTTTCCGTAATCATTCGACTAGGTGTCATCCTGCACGTGCTATCTAACCCGGTCACTCGTGGTTTGTCAAATATTTGACGTTTGTTTGATTATGTTAGGGTCAATGTATCCAAATTCTACAGATATCCACACAAGATCCAAATATTTGGGCAATCCCACAGTATATTGAGAAATTCAACCCACACTCACTCACAAACGCCATTGTTTGAAATGTGTGAAGCCCATTTCTGGTGTCCTCCGCCGTGATATTACTGGAATATTGCTTAAAGCGACGTAAAACTATACTCACTCACTCACTCAGCTTTGCTCGGGAAAACAACTCAAGTTCAGTGCAGATGATCAGGGCGCTTCAAACACTTTCTACGATTAAACTACCACGTCTCCGTTCGTACCGACTTAATTCGTGATTTGCACCTTCTACAGCCATACCTCTGTCATGAGATACACAGATGTTTCTCGACCCCCGACTCTCTCCGATTAATTTCCGTCACGGAAACAGCCGAGTTGGAGATTTGCGGCAGGTGGTCAGCCCTCCCGAGTGCGAACCGTGACAGCGCGTGGCGTTGTGTCCATGGCAGTCGCGTGACACGTGCGGACCGCACATCGCGTGACAGCATTTTGCCAGATGCGGTCATCACGAGTAAGGGATATTCGGCCCTGTCACGTCCCGCTGACGCTCATTTGACAGTTTCGTAAATGTCAATTTCCCGAAGGCCGCTCCAACCGTCTGTTCAAAATTCACCAAAGTTATTCATTAAGCTGTCGACAACTCTAATGACGATTTCTGATTTCTGCGTGGAAGTCTGTTCTTTCGGACATGATCATAACACTAAATCATGCCAATTTGGACACAACCCAGCCAGAGGTCATTGACACTTGGTGGTGTAATGACAGCCGACATTCTGATCTAGCGAGTAAACTTACTTGGAATTCTAATCATGGCTCATGCTAAAAGGTCCTATTTGGAGTTTCGTTCAGCGAAATGTGACGAGCTTTCTAAATGAACTAGCACACCTATGAAAATAGACCTACTCTCATTTTTTCAGGCGTGTCTTAATTAACCTGAGAAAATAGTTCAGAGCTCAGCTGTGGCCACGGGGCCATTCAGAGAATACAATAATACCCCGAAAATAGACCGGCAACACCCTAGGGCCGTTCACAAATATTTGTATACCTGCGCCCGGCTATCAGAACAAGCGGCCATGCACAAAAAAATGTTCCGTGTTTTTATTGTAGGTGCGAGAAATTGATTTCTTAAAAGGTTTTACTTGTTCCCAATAAAGCGTGCTAAGCCGCCAATATTGAGACGATTGCTCATTTGGGGATTTCACCCACAATTCAAATGGGGAGTTATGCCTGTGTTGACGATTCGGGTTGTATACAAAATCGGTGGACTGAGTTAAAACGAATTAGCGTCACGCATGCCACGTGAATTTTGGATAATAAAACGAATAATTCCATCATCTTGGATCGAAAGCCTTTTTGTAGTTCATTTCCGAATAGACGTGAATTTCGTATTATGATCATGACTCATCCAGATTTGATAATGTCACCTTTTACCATTTGCTTACAACTAGTTAACTGAATGACACACATTTTCACATTAATTTTCAATATGTCTGCTCGCATTTTAGAGCCATTAATAACGCTTCGGTTCTCGTTTTGCTTCTTTGGGGAAATAATTCATGATGGGTTTCCATTAAATTCACCATCTACGACATGAAAAGAAGCTTCAAAAGTATTAAGAACAGGTTTCGTGTCACCCTACTTAACATTTATGGTTATAATAATGATGTGAAAAAGCTGTTATATTCTCCTCTACTTCCACTTCTCACATTTGTACACATGAGGGAAACGGGTCATTTATTCAGCAACATCAATCAGTACACTACACGTGGAATGGCCACGCCACGTCAACCGGGAAACACACCGTGTCCCATTTTAACCTGCTGCATGAATGTCTTATACATGGATTAAACAACTCGAGTTAAAAAAGACATCATATTCACTGAATCAAAAAACAATCAAGAGAATGAACTCCGGGAAACCATTACTTTTAACCCAATCGTGACCACTGCTACTGCTGCACGACTGGTTCTGAATACCTTGAACGAGGCCCATGACTAATGATGAATCTCTTCCCGCAGGCTCACATGGCGACGAGTTAGCAGAGGAGACGATGAAGAACTTCGTTATGCAGCTGATGCCCGAGTCTCCCAAATCCTCATCCCTTGTTAACTTTGAGAAGCGCCAGAGCAGACCTAGCTTCCTGGTCATGAAGAGAAGAAAAGGTTCCCACTAGGAGGTATGTTATTCACACTATACACAGGCTGGGTTCATATACTTGTATGGAGAGGGTGCTTAGCTAGTCTCAATTTGGATTTTTAGTTCAACAAATACATCCCTTATGTGTAAACCAACAGTGATTGGTCGATTTGCTATTTACGAGTTTTATCAAAAATGGAATTTAATGTTCCATAAAAGTAAACATGGTTAGACAGTCATAGTTCAGAGCCCCGTTTTACAAAGCGATCGTGATGCTAGGACTGTCTTAAGTTCTAAACGTTCACATGGACTTACTACAAGCGTAGCGATACGATCACGTTTTGAAAACGTGTTGATCATCGCGTTTATCTGGAACTCTGGAGTTCTTATACTCTCAATGTATTAGCAACAGTTGTCACGGATTGATTTTAAAGTTAGAATATTCTCCATTACTTATGATGTTTGTTTTTGTTATTTCAGCTCTCTCGCCTGTATATACTAGAAGCCTGACTGTGATACTTGATGGTGCTAACGAAGCAAGGATCTTGCTCAACTTCAACTCCATACACATGTTCAAGACAGACAGAAATACAGACAGACGACACATCTCATCACACATCTCCCATCCATCATCACCTCGTCAAGGTCATGGGGTCAGAGGTCATTGCAGCCATGACGTCACTTTACACAAACCATGATGATCAAACTGTCATTTCACCTCAAAGGTAAGGATCGTTATGATGAGCACAATAACAAACGTTCATAGAAATACCAGTAAAGTTATGATACATATGTCAGTCAGGATTTTAATGGCATGCCAAAAATACTTGGACTCTTTTATTGTGTCTCTGTGCAGAGGTTCGTCTTTTGTATGCTAATATGCATACGTACAGACACACAGGGGTCAACTGAAATACTTTTAAGTGCCGCCTCTAACCAGATTCACTCACTGTTTTGGAATTAATTAGTTGTAATTGCGATGATGATTCTATTTATGCTAAATTTTAAATGTTTCCTTTTTTCCTTTTTAGCTTAATCGGAAGAGAATGCTAGACTGGGCTCTGTCTTGTCAAGCAATACCTGAACATCATTGGCCGCCTTCAACCTTGTTCCGGGATGTGATTGGCTGAAATCCCCACCCCATCGCACAAGCCTTTGGTGTCCTACCAACGACCCACTCACGAACATATTTACCATTTTTCAGCATCTCTGTGTACTACATACAAGTACGACTGAACTGCGTTGTGAAGAGTGATTTTAAGTGATTCTGTAGGCTCCATCAACATTTTATTGGAATACGACTGAACATGGTGATGAACACACGTGTTTTAGTCAACCGCGGCTTCACTACCTTAAACTGTCAATACAACTTCTACAGATATATTTTACATTTCTTGTTATGTAATTGTTAATCTACCTTCTGTTGACGCTATGTTAAGTTGCTGTCTTCTGTACCACATGAACAAGTTGGACCTTGCACTCAACGTATATTATGATTTCATGTTGTCACACTGACTGCTTTTCCGTTTGTTTTGATATTGTGCCTGCTGTGTTCTTAATAAATTGTTTATATATCTGAAATAATCACGTCTACATTCTTTCCTCAATCATCAGGGGAGGTTGGGTAGCCTAGTGGTTAAAGCTTTCGCTCGTCACGTTGAAGACCCGGTTCGACATGGGTACAATGTGTGTAGCCCATTTCTGATGTCCTCCGCCCTGATATTGCTGGAATATTGCAAAAGGCGGCGTAAAACCATACTTACTCACTTTCCTCAATCATCTGGGGATAGGTAGCCCAGTAGTCTAAGGCATCGCAATTCACCGTGTAGAGTTGCGTCCCTTCGGGTGGCAGGAGCCTATGATTATAGATTCGGGTACCTTCGTGCATCACTTCCACATTCTTCTCACACCAAACTGACCAGCTGTGAAAATACTGAACACTCACTCACTCAATCCTCGATCAGTTTCAACTTTTCGAGTCGCTCTATGGCAGATGTATTGCCCTTGTGGTGTAAAGGTTTAACTCGCTCCAATTATTACCAATTATGGATCCGAGGGGGGGGGGGGGGGGGGAGGAGGGGAGGCACATGGCAGAGAGTTGGGCTTTAGCCACTAACAGCGCGGCTTCAGCCACAGTACTGTACCACGGGATTTGAACACGGGTGTCACTTTGACGACAAGACTGCTTTAATATGGTACCACTCTGGTACTCTGTTTTTTTGCTGAGAAACTCATTTTGAGTCAAATAGGACCATGATTGAATCTGGTTTGCTTTGTTTGTCGTTTAACACCGCACTCAGCAGTAGTCCAGCTTTATGCCGGCGGTCTGTAAATAATCGCAGTTGGGCTACGATGACATGCATCAACCAGCCAGCCTGACCACCCGATCCCGTTAGTCGCCTCTTACGACAAGCATGGTTGCTGAAGACCTATTCTAACCGGTATCTACACCCGTCTTATTGAATCTGTGAAAAGACGTCAGTGTGGTCCTTATAGATCTCTTGGGTTTAGCTCCGTCATACCTCGCTGCAAGGAGTAAACCAGTGAAAGTCGGTGCGACATCGTTCGATTGTAACCAAACTTGTTGCCCTTTAAAAGCAGGTTATGTCCCTTTAAAGCTGTTTTTGGCTCGAATGTCAGATTGTCACTGGGTGTGAACCTTGGTCTTACAGTACCGTGTTAACCATTGTGGACAATGTCAACAATAGCGTCACTCGACGCCAGGAGCAAGACCACCCACAGTATGAACACTGACACTGATACTGTCTTAAAAGTGTAAAAAATAACTTGTACAAAGAGGAGAATATATAATTCAGTAGAGAGTGCAACTACAGCTGTTGTGAACACATGCCGACACACGACACTACAGAAATGACGATTGTGCTGTTTGTTGTTGTTTATCGTCGCACTTAGTAATATTCCATCTATATGACAGCGGTCTGTAAATAATTGAGCCTGGACCAGACATTCCAATGATTAACATCATGAGGATCGATCCACGGAACTGGGATACGATGTCACGTGTCACTCACTTGAGTGAGTGAATGGGTGAGTGAGTATGGTTTTACGCCGCTGTCTGCGGCGTGACGAGCGAACGCTTTAACCACTAGGCTACCCGACCGCCCCCACTCACTTGAGCGCGAGACGAGTTTCTAAACTTTCTTAACGAAGCTACGGTGACGAATGGGTCCAGGGTGTTTTCATTATGACGATATAATACACCAGATAATCAAGGCAGGGGAACACTTGGAGGAGATCACGACCTTGAGAGGGAGACCCCCAGAAACCAACCCCCAGAGGTCTTTCACTCCCAACAAGAATGTTTCTTTAACTATGTACAAAACATAAAACAAACAAGAATATTTTGACATAGGTTGTTAACATTTCTAGAACAATAGAAGCATTTCTCATCCCTTGACAGCAATTATTACAAAGCCACGGCTTTCCCTGATAGTCGACAATGTATTGCCTAACTGTCGACATTATCCTGCCTAACTGTTGACACGATGTGACGTCATTATGCACTGCCTCGGCTGACACGTGTGTTTTACAGATAGTTTATTTGTTGTGTAGACACGTGCCTCATTATGCGTATTTTAGTTCGATCATAGCGTGTCAGTTTAGTTTGAGAGGTAGACCCGATGTGGCGTACCAGTAGACATTTCTGAAATCTACGTGTACGGGTATGGTTTGTTTGTTTGTTTGTGTCTTTGTTGTTTAACCGCGGTCTGTAAATAATCGAGTCTGAACCAGACATTCCAGTGATTGACATGAGCATCCATCCACGTAATTGGGACACAATGACATGCATCAACCAAGTCAGCGAGCCTGACCATCCGATCCCGTTAGTCGCCTCTTACGACCCCGGATCTTCACGTCACGTACGGGTATGGTGCTGACAAACGAAGGATCAGGGATTCGATCCCACGACCAGCGGATACTGACTTGACAAAGGGATGCAACTCTTACACAAGGAATTATGGAAATCTCCCTTGTCAGTATGTATGCACGTCGTAATAAGCAACCGCTTGATCGTGTTGTATAGACCACGAACCATTGTGTCTCTCCTCGCTATATAGTTCTGCAAACCTCCCGGACCAGCTCTGGCAGACGTGGCAAAGTAGGCACACGCAGTTTCTAACCAATAACCAGAACATAAGGCGCCACCCTTGGAAAGATCATTGGTAGAGGACATCCCCCTGGATAGATCATGGATAGAGGGCAGCCCCCTGTATAGATCATGGACAGAGGGACACCACCCTTGGATAGATTATTGTAGAGGACATCTTTCCTGGATAGATCACGGATAGAGGGACATCGCCCTTGGATGGAATATGGATAGAGGGCATCACCCTTGGATAGATCATGGATAGAGGGACACCACCCTTGGATAGAATATGGATAGAGGGACATCGCCCTTGGTTAGATTATGGATAGAGGGCATCACCCTTGGATAGAACATGGAAAGAGGGACATCGCCCTTGGATAGATCATGGATAGAGGGAAATCGCCCTTGGATAGATCATTGGTAGAGGAAATCCCCCCTGGATAGAACATAGATAGAGGGACATCGCCCTTGGATAGATCATGGATAGGGGACATGCCCTTGGATAGATCATGGATAGAGGACATCACCCTTGGATAGATCATGGATAGAGGACATCACCCTTGGATAGATCATGAATAGAGGACATCAACCTTGGATAGATCATGTATAGGGACATCAACCTTGGATAGATCATGTATAGGGACATCAACCTTGGATAGATCATGTATAGGGACATCAACCTTGGATAGATCATGGATAGAGGACATCACCCTTGGATAGATCATGAATAGAGGGACACCAACCTTGGATAGATCATGTATAGGGACATCAACCTTGGATAGATCATGTATAGGGACATCAACCTTGGATAGATCATGTATAGGGACATCAACCTTGGATAGATCATGGATAGAGGACATCACCCTTGGATAGATCATGAATAGAGGGACATCAACCTGTGGATAGATCATGTATAAGGACATCAACCTCGGATAGATCATGGATAGAAGACATCACCCTTGGATAGATCATGTATAGAGGGACATCACCCTTGGATAGATCATGTATAGAGGGACACCACCCTTGGAAAGATCATGTATAGGGACATCAACCTTGGATAGATCATGTATAGGGACATCAACCTTGGATAGATCATGGATAGGGACATCACCCTTGGATAGATCATGTGTAGGGACATCACCCTTGGATATATCATGTATAGGGACATCACCTTTGGATAGATCATGTATAGGGACATCAACCTTGGATAGATCATGTATAAGGACATCACCCTTGGATAGATCATGTATAGAGACATCACCCTTAGATAGATCATGTATAGGGACATCAACCTTGGATAGATCATGTATAGGGACATCACCCTTGGATAGATCATGTATAGGGACATCACCCTTGGATAGATCATGTATAGGGACATCAACCTTGGAAAGATCATGTATAGGGACATCAACCTTTGATAGATCATGTATAAGGACATCACCCTTGGATAGATCATGTATAGAGACATCACCCTTAGATAGATCATGTATAGGGACATCAACCTTGGATAGATCATGTATAGGGACATCACCCTTGGATAGATCATGTATAGGGACATCACCCTTGGATAGATCATGTAAAGAGGGACATCACCCTTGGATAGATCATGTATAGGGACATCACCCTTGGATAGATCATGTATAGGGACATCAACCTTGGATAGATTATGTATAGGGACATCGACCTTGGATAGATCATGTATAGGGACATCAACCTTGGATAGATCATGTATAGGGACATCAACCTCGGATAGATAATGGATAGAAGACATCACCCTTGGATAGAACATTGAAAGGGGGACACCACCCTTGGATAGATCATGAATAGAGGGACACCACCCTTGGATAGATCATGTATAGGGGGAAACCACCCTTGGATAGAACATGGAAAGGGGGACACCAACCTTGGATAGATCATGGATAGAGGGACACCACCCTTGGATAGATCATGAATAGAGGGACACCACCTGTGGATAGATCATGTATAGGGACATCAACCTTGGATAGATCATGTATAGAGGGACACCACCTGTGGATAGATCATGTATAGGGACATCAACCTTGGATAGATCATGCATAGAGGGACACCAACCTTGGATAGATCATGTATAGAGGGACACCAACAATAGATAGATCATGAATAGAGGGACACCACCTGTGGATAGATCATGTATAGGGACATCAACCTTGGATAGATCATGTATAGGGACATCAACCTTGGATAGATCATGTATAGGGACATCAACCTTGGATAGATCATGTATAGGGACATCAACCTTGGATAGATCATGGATAGAGGACATCACCCTTGGATAGATCATGAATAGAGGGACACCAACCTTGGATAGATCATGTATAGGGACATCAACCTTGGATAGATCATGTATAGGGACATCAACCTTGGATAGATCATGTATAGGGACATCAACCTTGGATAGATCATGGATAGAGGACATCACCCTTGGATAGATCATGAA